CTGCAAGACCTATGTGGACCATGCAATAAGCACAACACAACCTCTGTCGCAAATCAGGCCTAATCCATGATGAAACTAAACTAATCGAGGCTACATTTTACAAAAGTTCATGGCCATGTTAATATAATTGTATGTGTCTTTTTTCATGGAAATCGTCATCATCATGAGCTGGAGTATTTGGACAATCAGGAATTATGCTATTTTTAGAGGGACAGCTTAGAGCAGTTTAAGGTGCATAAACATCTTCAAACAAGTCTTTGGCCTACTGTTGTGGCGTGCAAAGAAGAAATATTTTCCTCAGATTCAATCACGGCTAGAACAGATTGTGTAATATTTCTTATCTTTTTTGTTTCCTTCTTTGTTTCTTGAGCTTTTAGGCCAGCTCTGAAACGTTCCTTTCTTGTTTTCTTGTAACTTGCTTGGTTATACTTCAATTAAATTTTTCAGTAGGGCTCCTTGACCCCTCATGTTCCTTTTTTTTTGTAACTTTCCTGTCACGGCTATCTGCTTTTCTTCTATATCAATAAAAACAAGCATTGTCAGATCCTACATGCATTAAGAAGAAGAGCCCGCCATGCGCCAGATGGGCTAAGAAAGACGATCCAAAACTCATATGTTCGCAAGCAATTTGCTCTCCCATAGCCATATTACTCTCCCATAGCAGTTTGCACTAAACATTTCCCCCTTACAATGGAGCAAGCCATATGCTCCTCTTTGATATTTGCAAGCAGCACCCCACGGGCAATTTCTTGTCATAGAAGATAGATCCTCATATGTTCCTCTCTCTCACGAAGTATTCCCATCGCCCCATTTTAAACTGCCGTTTCTTATTTCTCGAGAAGTCAAACGTACTCCACTTTGACCAAATATCTATAAAAAATATTAATATTTATGGTATATAGTTAGTATCATTAGATAGATCGTTGAATCTATATTCATAATAAACTTATTTGAATATATAAATGTTGCTAATATTTTCTACAGATAGCTAAACTTAAGAAAGTTTGACCAACACAAGTACTATAGTGACACTTAAAAAGGGCTAGAGGGAGTACTTAGCTAACCAAGTAGGACTTGAATTATTAACTTTGATCATTTCTGGTCATATCAGCTTTTTATTGTAAAGAAAGAACACGTGCATAAGGTAGGATATGATGTGTTGAGACGTAGAATAGTAGGATATGTTCCAGTTTTGGCACTCCTTATCTTCCATTGCATACAATCTGGCAATCTGCCTGGAAAATTTCTGCAGACACATCATATATATATGTACGTACGCCACTTGTGGAATAACATCAGTTGAACAAGTCATTACGAAGTTGGTGAAACCTCTTCTTCAACTGGAGATTCAAGTTTATCTTCACAAGTACAATTAAATTAATGTTATTTTCCATGATATACATAGATTTGGCTACTAATAGTTGATGTGTCTACACGAGATATATATATGTATGTGGAAAATCAACTGCAACGGCTAAATAACATTCATATATCATATTTAGCCATTCCAACTATTAGTGATAATATGTATGGTAGTGAACTAGTGAAGAATGGTAGTGATATATATTTTCCATTCCAGCTAAATATGTTATGTATGTGGTGAAGCAAGAATCTACGAGCTTGATTTCATCTTCTAGATCTTCTCCTTGCTCATAGTCTACTATATATGGATTCTACTAGTCGATCAATGTCGGGTATAGTATAGTGTAAAATGATTGTTTGAATAAGTAGTGAACGTGAGATTACTAGCAATAAAATACTAGAGTAGGAACAAATAAGATATCAATAACTCCAAATAGGGCACCAATGGACACGTTATGTTTTTAGGGGGAAATAGTACTAATTTTATATTTCTCTGATTTAAAATAAATTAGTTATGATTTTTTTTAGAAAAATAAGCCATTTTCATTTTTTTAGAAAATATAAAAAGTGCCTTTCAATTACGGGTGATCAAAGATTTATTGTTTTAGATTTGTATGACAAAACAAACTCATACAATAGTTGGATGACCAAAACACTTCTCCCTATTTATAAATACACACCATTCAAAGTAATTGCTAGGCGTATTCCTACTGGGTATTTGAAGTGGTATCCTTGTGTCTTCACCAGCATACTAAAAGGTGGCTCCTAGATGTATTCTCTCTGTCCCAAAATCAATTAACTCTTACAAATATTTGAAGCTGCATTATTTATTTTAATTTGAATCAACTTTATAGAGAAGAATACCAACATCTATTACCCCAAATAAGTAAACTATAAAAATATATTATGTATCTATTGACATTATATTGATATCATAAATATTGGTGCTCTTTTCTATAAATCCGGTTTAAGATAATTTAACTTTGGACAACTCTAGAAGTTGATTTATTTTGGTACGAGAGAGTACTACATTTGCGCCCACTAGAAAAAATACTTGTTCCTTTTTACTACAAGGAAATTAAATGCTCAGGGACTCCAATATTGTTTTGACCGCGGTATTGTCATGACGACCCATTCCACTCTTAGACTAAACTAAACTGCAAAGGAGTGAGAGAGAGTTGAAAGGTCTAAGTACTATATATCTTTGGTAGGTAGAAGAATAGGAATCTCCTCCATCCACCAGTTCCCACGTGGAGTTGTGATACATAATACTTCCAAACTAACAAAGAATTAGCACTGGGCAGGCAATTGATCATCGTTCTATACAATTTCCATGCATGACCAGTAATAGTAAATACTCCCTCGGTTCCAGAATGATAATTATAATTCGAACCCGAAAAAATCAACTTATATAAATTTCGACCATATTTATTCAAATTATGAACAAGTTTAGAATATGAAACTTATATTAATGAATTTTTATTCAAAGTGTCTCTGAGGCTATATTAATTCTTAGGAAAATGACAATATATAGTAAGGCAAATTAACGGTCAAAAATTATTTTGTCTGTTTGATCTTATATTTTTATGATCTCATAGTTTTTTTCAGCTTATATATGCTCAGAGAGTGTCCTCCAAAGTCCTTGCCACGGTCTAAACCATCTGCAGACCATATGAAAACGAGAGGTTCAGCTCGCGATGCTATATAGCGACAAATCAACCTGATTGAGACTTCTGTAGAAAATCCGGGGTTTCCACGAATTTCAGTCAAAGGAGCATGCAAATTTTTCTCCGTCCGAAAGCAAAATTTGCCTGTGACGCGGAGACCGTACATGGTCTCTGCTGCCTGCTGCACGGTCAACACGGGGCTATCTCGATCTGCTCTTGTTAGTTTTGTGTACGTCAGCAAGTTATTCCAGTCTTACACGTACCTTAGCTTCATGGTTGATTAAGGGTATGGTCAACATGGCTAATCACGTATTGTCATGCCTATTCCATGCATGCATCCAATTCTAAGTCTCGTATGCTTTATTTTATATATGCATGTATCCATGCTTATTGTCATGGCAGCCAGCGTACGCAAATTTGACACTGTGTTCATAAGTCTCGTATGCTTATTGTCATGCTTATCGTCTGTGTTTGTATACTCCCTCCGTCCATAAAAAAGTACAATTATGGGATCCATGCCGGTTAGATAAGCTCAAGTTTGACTAATTTTATAATAAATAGTATTAATATTTATGTCTCTCAATAAATTTATCATGAAAATATATTTTATAACTAATCTAATGATACTTATTTTGTAGCATAAATGTTTGTGCTTTTTATATAAATTTAATCAAAATTCAAACTTTTTAACTCTCGAGAAACGAGAATTGCATTATTTTGTGGACGGAGGTAGTATATAATAATTCAAGATGGGCATATAATATACATGGCTGAATATTTACACATATCATTTTCAAGGCTACTTACTGAACAGATATTTGACAGTGTGTTCTGAATCGGTGAAAACAGTAATACTAATATATATAAGTGGCTACGGCCTACGGCCGACATCCGTCCATGCATGTCCAATTAAGTAGGGGTTTTGACCTGAAGACAAATGTAACATCCTAGTAGCTCCGTTGTGAACCTGTAAATTGCGATCATATTCATGCGTGGTTGCATGAACCTGCTTATCTTAATTAGATCATTTTTTTAACCGAGCTTGACGGCGAAAAGATTAGGGATCCTTCATATAGGTATATAATAATACTCGCTCCTCATGTCATCACGGCTGATGTTTCCTCAAAAGTATGTCACTGCCTGAATTTACCGTGGTAAGTAAACAAAGCAGTGTTTGGTCAGCAAGTAGCCATGACTTCAAAATTTTGATGATGCCTCTTATATCTTTAATAAATACAAAAGATACGTGCGTGCGTGCATGACTTCTGTGTTGTCTTGAGATCTAATTTCTAATGCGTTATTATAGTATAAGGTGCTTTCAGTTTTGACACTCAAAAACACAATGTGGAACACTGGGACTTTCAGTATGCCTTTGCCTCTTCTGCAATGAGATCAATGCAACAGTCATCAGCAAGTTGGTAAGACATGTTCTTCCAATGGAGATTCAAAGTTTCAAACTGCCTGCGTGTAATTGAACTTTTCTTCTCCATCCTTGTAATGGTTTAGCACATACCATTTCTTGGTGACTGCATTATTGCGGCCAGCGTTGCTTTATCTTTCCAGCAGCTATATATAATATCATTTCAAATGAAAGGCAAGAAATGCCAAATTTACTTCTTTATATTGTTCATAAATACAAAGAATTAGTGCAAATTTACTGGCTCAAACGCTCAGTTTGCAGGATACAACAAGAATTTCCTGAATGAGAGACAAAAAAATTGCCAAAGATGATCTTCTAAACATGAAAGTTCAGGTATACACACACGCTCAACACAGTTGTGCTATTTTATTTCAGCAGGGCCAGACCACATGTTTAAAGGGGGTTCAAGTTCACGAACTCATGCTGAAACTTGAACAAGAATGCAATAATGAACTAAAATGAGAATCTACTAATACAACTCATCACGGTGAACAAGAATGGCCACAGTCCCAGCTAAGCCTTCTAAGCAATTCTCACAAAAAGGTTGGCCATCAAGTATCAACAGGAATATCCAAGCTGTTTTCTTCGGGTTCTGTGGATACTACCCTTACATCAGACACTTCAGAAGAATGGGGATTATCCCACTCAGTGTCCCCGACTGTAGGGATATCAACTCCCTCGTCATCCAACTCAACAATGTTCTCCGTAACTGGTATTGGATCTGTATCACTTACGCAAGCTTTATCAACATTATCGTCTTCCATGTGCTTCGAAGCAGTAGTGCAGAGCTCCGAGCTCTCTTCACAAACCTGTATTGTGCTAGTCTCTTGCCTGGAAAACATATAATCTCCCATTAAGCTATCTCTAAAAGAATCTAGTTTGAGAAACTTGCAACTGGATGAAAACAAAAGTAAATCAAATAGAATTATAGACGCCAAACCTTTGTATTTGAGATTGTAGAGCATCCTCAAGGGCTAGGAGATCCTCCTTTTCTTTGATGGCAGACTCAAATCGGCTCATGGATTCTTTTATGCGGATGTCAGCATCAGCAGCTGAGACCCTAGCTTTCTCTTCAGCTCTGACAACAGCTGCTTCTAGAATTACAGCATTTCCTCTAGCTTTTCCTAGTTTTGAGCGCCACATCTGAGCTTCTTGAAGAGCAGAATCTCTCTCTGTTAGCAAACGATCTCTCTCTTCAACAAGAAGCTTTGCTTTCTCCTCCGATTCCCTTAACTGAAACAAAAATACAGACAAGTTCAAATATTTTCATTGACATGAAGTATTCTCATGGTGGTCTGAATCTAGTCTATAACACTGTAACTAATAAGCATTAGAAGATATGTGTACTGTATGCGATTGTTACCCTAAGCAAAGATGCTTCAACTTGTTTCTCATGGTCTTGTTTCAGACGTTCAAGTTCTGACGTAAAAAATCTTCTCTCTTCATCAATTGAACGTGCTGCAGAAGCAGCAGTTTCAGCTGCTTCTGCAGTCTCCTGTAACTTTTCTGCAATTTCATTGATGGTAGAATCACGTGCACGAATATCCTGCAACAATTGGTGGAGTTCGTCGTCTTTAACTCGAAGGGTCTCCTGTTGGTCGCAGATGCATTGCCATTGCCAGAAAAATAGAAACAAGAAAACAATTTCAGTATCCAATCATCAAATTATAGCATATTATAGTTTTATGTTTTAGAAGTATCGCTTTGAAAGACAGACTACAATAAAGTTATCCATCATATGAGCTTTAAATGTTTTATTATAGATGATAAGTTCATTATCAACTTTTGCATCAAAGGATTACAAATCAGTTTTCAGTCAGTCAGTGAACTTTTATGAAGTATTGTTGTCATATAATCCAGCTATAGCAACAGGGTGCTGAAAGGGAATATATATCTCCTGTTGGTTGCAGCAAATTTAGTATGCCAGGAAATTGGCTGGTAACTGACAAAATTCCTGTTGATTTAGCAATATTTTTGTTGATTTGGCAAAAAAAAAAGTTGTCATCTATACAAAGTAGTATAGCTTCTCATAGTGCATAAATGGTTTCAGCAACTATAGTCTATAGGACACACCATTTGCTGGTTTTTGGAGCACAGTCCTATGTACATTACATCAGCAATTCTAGCATCCACTGCTCAATTACTGAATAGTAATTCAGGTACTCTTATGTACAAGTAGTATATGGAAGAGCATACCATCATTATTGTGAGATCATCTAATTGGCCTTTGGTAAGTTTATTTGTAGTTGTGCCCAAAGTTGCCCGCAGGGAAATCTTCATTGCAGCCTGTACCTCCTTTGTTGCTTCAATTGCCGTGGCATTGGCTACAGCCACAATAGTTGCAACTGTTCCCAATTTTGCAGGACCATTCTCACCCAATGAATTCACAGCCTCCTTATGAGCCTGTAGTACCAACTGAGTCGCACTGCATATGAAGCAAGAAAATATTACTAGGCTTCAAGGTCTGCAGATATAACAGCAGTACACAAAATGGGAAATGATAGATCTGTGCACATCGAACATATCATACATCAACCAAACGAAATTTAAGGGAAGGGATATTATATTTACTGAGTCTATTGTAAAGCCATAACCTAGTTATACGTTATACTGCATTAATTTAATAGCACATTATGCATGACATGTTTCATCATGTTCTTTTTCTGATAAATGGGCAACCAAGTAACATTATCAATGAGGGAACCAAATGAAACCCTTTGCTTTGCAAGATGCTACAAGCAACTGTTTCTTTGTTTCACTTTGGAACAAGAGCGCCAGTAGCACTAACTATTTACAGGAAGCTTTTCTAATCATTGGGGAAGTGGTGAGCAGTGATCCAGGTCAGCTAATGAGAATACCATAGTAGAGCACCAAATAGAGCAAAATTTAATAGCATATTTACACGGAGTTTCACATCTGCTAATTCTAGTGTTTACACATGAAAGTCTACTCCCTCCATCCTAGAATACAATGGATCAAAGCATTCAAATGTTTTCATTAATGAGTAAATTGCATGAATTTCCATTTAAATAAACCTACCCGTAAAAAATTGTGTGATTTGCCATTATGTGTGCGGTAGTTGAAAAAAAAACTCGACCTGCGGGGGATTATGACGGCCCCCGGGTTTTCTTACTAAGAAGAAGATCTTCTCACACAGATCGAGAAAACCCCCGAACCCTAATCCTGACGCAGGAGGTGCCGTAACCCTGTGAGAAGCGGGCCGGAGCCTTCTATTGCGCTTTGGCACATGGGGACAGGCGAGGGGATTTTTTTAACCTCAGCTTGAAATAGTTCAAACGGTTAGGTGACCCAGCGGCACTCCTCAGGTCCATGCAGTGGCGGATGCACGATGCGGGATAAGGGGGCCCTAAAACAATGGAGATGTTGATTTGCATGAAGATTTAATGGTGAAATCAAGCTTTTGCTACAGTGATTAGGCTTGAAATCAAGACATTAGGGGGGCTGGAGCCCCCCCAGCCCCCCCTTTGGATCCGCCATTGGGTCCATGTGTGCAGTAGTTGAGCAAGGCCTTCTCTAAATTCACCAACCACAGCCACCATCTATGCATCAACTAAATAGCAGAGTTCAAGTCAAGGATGCATGGGTCTTTTGAAATTTCTCTTAATCGGTCTTAAATATCTAGGATCCAGGACAAAGGGAGTAGTCCACTAATATGGTTTTCTATTTTTTTCCCCTCTTTTCAGTTCTGCCAATACTGACACTTACAGGAACAAATCAAACAGCAACCCACTATAGACCCAGTTGTACAAGTGCAAATAGCAGATTCAACATATATTCAATTAATGTTCATTTAATCTTAGTCAGTCCAGTGGCAGGGAAGAGATAATCCAACAGTAATGCAAAACTCATGGTTCAGGATAAAACCGGTTTCAGGGAATACAAAAGTTAAAAAGATAAATATAATCAAGAACCGTAGATTATCAAAGCTTACTGTAAAGTGGATACCCATGCTCTTGCAGCGCTGGGAGTTTCTGCACAAAGAAAGTATTCCTTTTTCTGTGGAGTTCCAATATCTAGAACACTAGTCAAAGAACGCAGCGAATCAAATCTAGACAAAAGGAGAAGAGAGGAAACATTATAACACAAAGATACCCCATAATGAAACCCTTTGTAGAGCACTAGAGCTCGGACAAGTACATCTTAATTTTGTTTCTAGCTAGTTGCATCTGATGTCAAAGAAAACTATCTATCTCTCCCTCTAACTCCTATTCTAAATAAAGTAAAATAATTGAGTAAAATAAAAAAAACTGAACATCTGTATTCATCGCTTTTATGATCTCAGTTCTAATGAAAATAAAATAGTAAAAAAATACAGATTAACAGCACAGGTGAACTCAGCACATTTTAATTGGGCATTCATTAATCTGATGGATTTTATTTTATTGCTGAAATGCAATTTTTTTCGTCAGCACAAGACAAGCTTTTTTTGTTTTGATGACTATAGGGTATATTAGGACTATAATCAGCATATAAAAGGAAGATTCTCCTTATCTGCTAATAATAAATAAAGAATCCCTAGAAATTTCAACTGCAATCAAGCAGTTTTTGCTGTCAGACGTTGGAAGTAACGGGCAATCAATATGCATGTTGCCTTCGTCTTGGATGCAGAGGAAATGCAAACGAGTAACTTTAGGAACTTTAGTAACTTGTTTGTCAACCCAATAAGTACGTGTGGCATTGATTGTTATATATATGGTTGCATTGGCAGGTAGAAAAACCAAAAAAGAAGTTTCAGTTAGAATGATGGGAGAAATTATCATGACCTGTTGGTTAGGTCCATGTAGAGGTGAGCTAAGTGTCGTAGCTTAGTTGGTTAGATTCATCCTTGCATTATGATGGAACCTGTGTCCATCGGATGAGTCTGTGACTAAATTGTAATTATTCTCTCAATAGAAGGATGCATATCCAAAGAGTTAGAATGCTCAGGTTACACGAAGATCGTCTCAGCGAACTCAAGAGAATGCGGCCTAGTTGGTTTTAGAGGTCGGCTTAGCCGGTTTTCGTAAAGAGCCCGTGAAAATCTAAGAATAATGTCTGTCAAGAAGGAATATGTCGGGAGGCGCACCTAATTAAGCTTGTTCTAGAGTCGGCAAGCCATCTAAAACATCCACAAACATCATGTCGAGATGATACCTGTAGAATAGTAAGTACGTAGGTTGGAAAGGTAGAGTTTGAAAAAATAAAAGTAACAATATAGTAGATTTGTTTGTGTTTAATCGATTAAATACCATCAATCTGTAGACCGTTTATGTACAAATCAAAATCTACTTCAGTCGGATTAGCCGAGAGGTTTAATATAATATAAAAAGTAGACAATCCGATGAGGTTTGGAATGTAATATGACTAACTGGCACCGTTTGCCTTTTCAACTATCCGCATATATCTATGACTTTTGCACGTGTTCGGCTGAACGAAATATGTTTTAATTTTGTGTATTTTCCTATCATGGAAAACAAGCTAAGGATAAATCTTCCGATCTTAATTTATATAAGAAAACTTGGACTATTTTCAACTTTTTTGTTGTTAGAAAAATTTGCATCGAGAAATTGAAATGACAACACTATTAGTATCCTGCAATCCATTTTTCCTCTTAAAAGTCATTGCGTGCTTGCATGGCTATCCGTTCAAGTGGGCTAGTCTGATCGTAGCCGGACAGCGACTTGATGGGCCCGGATAGTAGTAGTGAGCGAGGTTGAGCTACGACTATTATAGTTTGTTTGGTTGTTCCGATCCGTTCCTATCGGTGTTTGGTTGAGGAACCAATGGATGGAACAGCTCCCCACCATCGAATATTCGCTCGGATTCGGAGCGAGCTCGTTCCAGAAAATTAGTCGGACGAGCTCTCGCTCCACTCGAACGGCGTTCACGTCATATCTCTCGCGTGCATCAGCAGAAGACAGCCGGACCCAAAGCCAGAGTGAGTGGAACCATGACCATGGTTGGTCGGTGCTAGGGATGAAAACGGATCGGATACGAACGGATATCACTCATATTATATTTGTTTTCATATTTCTGTTCGGATTCGGATTCGGACACGGATAGCGTTCGGATACATATACGAATACGGATTGACTCGGTTACGGATACGAATAATAAGTATCGAATACGGTATGAATCGGATTCGGAGAAGGTCGGATACAAATATCTATTCGGATATTGAGTAAAAGCAGCATATATATATATATATATATATATATATATATATATATATATATATATATATATATATATATATATATATATATATATATATATATATATATATATATATATATCATACGTGCGCAAACCATTACACCACTCTATGAGTCCATAATCCATCTAGATTAAGCCGAAAGACTAAAGAGTAAAGCAACAAATAAGATAAAGATACAGATACATCATACATCAAACATCATATAAGCACCAATCTTCGCGGCATGAGTAGAAATAGCCAAGCACATTGCTTCATGGGTCTCATGGAGTCATGGTCATGGATTCAAGATCTACAATCCTTATATAGGCCATTTTTTCATTTTGAGAAAGTTTGAACAAAATGTAGTTCAAATTTCACAAGTGTGTGACATAGTTTTAGAAAGTCTGTATGAGATTTAAGAATTTGTGACTAGTGTTTGATAAAACTTTCTCAAATGGGAAAATGAGCTATGTAACAATTGTATATCTTGCTGAGATGATCAAACTTGGTATTCAGAGTTTTTTCATCTGAGGTCATTTAGTGTCTCATTTGAGCAAGTTTGACCAAGTCAAATTTGGTCAAATGAAAAAACAACACTTTGACTCTAATATTATGAACTCTAAATGACTTCAAATTGAAAAGTTTTGAATACCAAATTTGTTCAACTCATCAAGATCTACAATTCTTGTTTTGGTCAACTTTCCATTTGAGATAGTTTGGATGGTTCAAATTTGTGATTTTTAAATTTCGATGCTTACAAACTAGTTTTCGGAACCCTAAATTGTCTCAAATTGAAAAGTTTTGAATACCAAGTTTGTTCAGCTCATCAAGATCTACAATCCTTATATAGACTATTTTTTCATTTGAGAAAGTTTGAATAAAATGTAGTTCAAATTTCACAAGTGTGTGACATAGTTTCAGAAAAGTCTATATGAGATTCAAGAATTTGTGACTAGTGTTTGATAAAACTTTCTCAAATGGGAAAATGAGCTATGTAACAATTGTATATCTTGCTGAGATGATCAAACTTGGTATTCAGAGTTTTTTCATCTGAGGTCATTTAGTGTCTCATTTGAGCAAGTTTGACCAAGTCAAATTTGGTCAAATGAAAAAACAACACTTTGACTCTAGTATTATGAACTCTAAATGACTTCAAATTGAAAAGTTTTGAATACTAAGTTTGTTCAAATCATCAAGATCTACAATTTTTGTTTTGGTCAACTTTCCATTTGAGATAGTTTGGACGGTTCAAATTTGTGATTTTTAAATTTCGACGTTTACAAACTAGTTTTCGGAACCCTAGATTGTCTCAAATTGAAAAGTTTTGAATACAAAATTTGTTCATCTCATCAAGATATACAATCCTTATATAGACCATTTTTCATTTGAGAAAGTTTGAACAAAATATAGTTCAAATTTCACAAGTGTGTGACATAGTTTCAGAAAGTCTATATGAGATTCAAGAATTTATGACTAGTGTTTGATAAAACTTTCTCAAATGGGAAAATGAGCTATGTAACAATTGTAGATCTTGCTGAGATGATCAAACTTGGTATTCAGAGTTTTTTCATCTGAGGTCATTTAGTGTCTCATTTGAGCAAGTTTGACCAAGTCAAATTTGGTCAAATGAAAAAACAACACTTTGACTCTAGTATTATGAACTCTAAATGACTTCAAATTGAAAAGTTTTGAATACCAAGTTTGTTCAACTCATCAAGATCTACAATTGTTGTTTTGGTCAACTTTCCATTTGAGATAGTTTGGATGGTTCAAATTTGTGATTTTTAAATTTTGAATAAATATCCGGATAATATCCGTTTTTAAATATCCGGATATATCCGATACTTATCCGGATTATCCGATATCCGCCGGATATCGATGATATTACATCCGTATTTGATATCCGCCTAAGATATCCGTTTTAGTATCCGTATCCGAAAAAAAAACCGGATATCCGAGTAACTATCCAGATAAGTGTTCATATTTGTTCGGTCGAACGGACGGTCGAATAAATATCCGTACCGTTTTCATCCATAGTCGGTGCTAACGGCTAGGATGGGCAGAGACAGCACGACCGGGCAACGCACGCAGAGACAGCCGGGTGGGGCAGTGTTAGATTGGAGGTGGCTAGTGGCGGCGAGAGGTGATTGAGCGAAGGGCGAAATCGGTGGAGGCGCAGCGTAGGAGGAGGAGACAGGCGGTTGCGCAGACGGTCCTGTGGATGCGGGAGGAGAAGAGAGCGAAAGCGAAGATGGGGCGATTATGGATTCCTCAGAGAAAGCGGGAGAAGAGGATAAGGTATATGACTTGGACCCGACATATAGGACCCACACTTATGGTGACCTAACAGATCTGTCATCCTATCCTCCTCCCATCCATCCAACCATACAACAAAATGGAAATGTTCCATCCCCTAAAAAACAATAGAATGAAACCATCCATCCCTGAAATCAAGAATGGAATCATTCCATTCTACCTCGCTCTCAACCAAATACATCCCTGAAATCAAGAATGGAATCAAGAATGGAACCATTCCCATCGACAAAACCTTTCACATATAAAGTCTTCAAATGCCGATGCTTAATTGGTTTATCAAATATAGCTTGTTGTACCAATGTCAACTGGGCTGTCATCTCTTCATACTCCGATTCATCAAAGTCTGAATAAACTTCTTATCTGCTGGAGCATTAAATTCAGATGGTAAAAAAACATTTGAATATTAGCCGATGGTTGACCCTTATCGGTTGTTTGTTTAGCACGCCATACTTGCGGTTTAGATTTCTGAGCTTGTTCTAATTCTCTGCTCCTTAGGCGTTGTACTCTTCTCTTCTGACTTCTTGTTAAACCTCCTGGATACCACTGTCCTTCCTACC